ACACACACACACACACACACACACACACACACACAGTTACATTATTAAGACCATTCCATTGCATACAAACAACAAAAGTATCACAGCATTACAATGCTTTTGGATCATGCATCACGATATTATTTGAAGTATCTTGGAGATAAACACCATAAATAAACACCATCACTATTAGCAGTAATAGGATATATGCTCAGTGCACCATGGTATTACAATCACTGTACCATAATACCACCACAATATTTTTGTAACCACAGACTCAAATCTCATTTTTATATCTGATGAATGTCCAGGTTACCTTTCACCATATAAATTGAAAGCAAAAAAAACAAAAAAGAGAGAGAATTTATATATGAAGCCATATTACAAATTTTTATTATTATGGGATTTATTTTTATTTTGTATAACAATTAAAATATAAGTATATATATATATATATGTATGTGTGTGTTTAATGTATAATCTAGCTTTGCAGTACAAATTATTATTATTATTATTTAAAAAAGCAGTACAAAAAATAACAATATTGTAAATTGCTTAAATGTTTAAATATTTAAAAGAATGCTTAAATGTTCAAATAAATGACATAAAAATGTAAAAAAGTTTAAATAAATAAATAACTGCTTAAATACACAAATACATAAATGCTTGTTTAAATACATTCTGGAATAAAAACAGTAAAAAAAAACGCAAATATATAAATACTTTATATATTTAAACATATTAAATATATAAATAATCAATCAATAAATGCACAAATAATAAAGTTAATGCTTAAATAAATGCCTAAATAATAAATAGAAAGCCTAAATAGATTGTTGAATAAATACATACATAAATAAATGCATAAATAAATACATACATGCATAAATAAATGCTTAAACTTTCAAATAAATGCTTAATTCCATAAGTAAATGCGTGTTTAAAAAAATGCTTAAATTAATAAATAAATTAAAAAAATTACTGAATAAATGTGTGATTATGCTGGATTTCAAAATGCTTAAAATTAGTAAATAAATGCTTAAATATATACAAACAAATGTTTAATCAATGCTTGAAATACATTTTGTTTTTAAGTCAGTTTAATGAGACTTTTGGGGGCACATAGTTCTAAACATAGGCTTAAATTTTCTTGGATTTTGGTCTAAAATATAACCTAGACTAAAGAAATCATCGATCGCCCTTCTAGCCAGTGCATCTGAACCACAACAGATGATATGTGGATGTTTCGTCTCATGGGGTCAGAGGTCAGACTCACGCTTCAGTAACAGACACAGGTGCTCCTCAGCTGATCTCTGGACGGGGGCGGCGGGGGCGTCTGTGCGGTGGTACGTCACGCTTTGACCCTCCAGGTCCCAGTAAGCCAGAACCGTGTTGGTGTTTCCAGGACAAACGAACGTAACGAGCGCAGAGAACTCTGAGACGTTCAGGCCTGCTGCGGTCGCTCCGTCCGGCACGTCGAAACACGTCACAGCGCCCCCTGGCTTCACGGAGGGCTGCGAGAGTTTGGCGGTGGCGGCCGCCCGACGGCACTCCACATGAGGGAAATCTCTGAACCAGGGTAACCCCTGAGCCGGGCGCTCCGGAGCTTTAGATCGACTGTACAGCGAAGACAGACGTGCCTCCCACGACCTGAACACATCAGAACGGCACGGAAAATTGAGTAGTAGTAGATTTTTATTTAATGCAATGTCAGCATCAAAGGCTATTTTCATGGCAAAAACCATTCAAAAAAATGTAAGTATAACAAATACAATAAAAACAAACACAAGATTTTTTACATTAACATATGTGACCCTGGAGCACAAAACCAGTCATAAGGGTCAATTTTTTGAAATTGCGATTTATACATATCATGAAAACTGAATAAAATAATCTTTCCATTGATGTATGGTTTGTTAGGATAGGACAATATTTGGTCTCTTATACTTTTAATAACGACATCTATTAATTTTTAACAGTTAATCACAAACTCTGGATCAACTCTGAGTTTGTTTATATCGAGCTTTGTGAGCCTGATCTAAACCAGGTTGGATTTATTTGGTTTTGTCAACTCTAAACCTACTCTGAAACTCAGAGTTTGTTTATCTAGCTTCATGCAACAGGCCACTGTTGGTTTATACAGCACCGGTCTGTTTGGAAAGGTTTATCCAGGACCGACAGGCTGTGGACGGAGCTCGCGAGACTGTCCTGATCCCATGATTCAGTGGGCCTGAGAAATGGCCGATTAGGGGCTGAACGACAGTGAAGGTGATCTGGATACTTCCTGGAGAAAAAGAATCCACAAAAAAACAGTAAGAAATAGATCAGGGGGCTGTTTCATAAAAGACGCTAAGAAAAGCAGGGATTAAGTCCAAGTCCAAAACCTGACTTGAAATAACCTAACAAATCAATCGAGACTAAAGCGGTTTCATAAACGACAATTTAAGTTCACGCAATCTCACTAATTCGATCCAGTGAGTCAAGATCATTTGATGTGCACGCTTATTCTTAAGCAGCCCTTAATGTTGATCAAATGGATCCAGCATGGCAAACAGCGATTATATTAGTGCTGTTTAATGCATTTGAGACGTTGTGTTTTCCTCAGGAAAACAGACGGAGCGCAATAGAATAATAGCGCAATAATTTTGAGCACAATATACATTTTGCTAAAATATTTGTTGTTGGACGTTAAATGTGACGCATGTAGATTTTTAATCATATAAGTGTATTTTTATGATAGCAGTAACTGTAAATCAAATGTAAGCTGGCTAATACAGCCCAAATTACTAGCTCAAATGATTTAAATGTGTGTTCCTCTTATCAGTTAAAAATGTAGTCTGATTTCTATCATTTATTTTCATTTTTAATTCAGTGAACTATGTTAAAATGTTTTCATATATCTTTAAAAAAAAAAGTCATTAAATTTTGGGCACAATACATTAAATACAGTTGGTTGTATATAACAAATAATGGAAGATCTACTTCACTGGGCGCTATTTAATAACACTAGAAAACAAAATAATGTCATAAAGCTGCAATTAATTGCAATGGAAAACTAATAAATAAATACATAAGAATACAAACAAGTAAGTGGCACAAACAGCAGAGTCTCATTAGGTGTGTGCACCTGAAGTAGTGGTTGAGGTCGACGGCGAGGGCTTGGTTCTGCTGGGTGACGCTCACAGCTGTACTGAGATCCTGTGAGATCTGGAAGAGACAGAAGGATGAGACGTCTGCTAGACTGCAGTATGAGGGGAAATCCACTGTAGCCAAGAGTTTCCCATCAGTGCTGTCAAACACATCTGACACACAGCGTTAAAGAAACCAGTAACACAGCTCATATTCCAACACATAATCAAAAGAAAATTAAAGGGTTAGTTCACCCAAAAATGAAAATTCTGTCATTAATTACTCACCCTCATGTCGTTCCAAAATAATTGTTGTTGTTATTATTATATATTTAATATTAGTTTTAAATAATATTGTAATATAATATTGAATATATTATTATTACTATTATTATAAACATAATAAATATTTGAAATGTCATCGAGTCGTGTTCAAATGGTTGTACATAAACAAAAATCTAATCTGAAGAGTCAGTTTGTGGTTCAGAGAACGACATAGTATCGTGTATTCTCTATCTGGTGGATATTTGGCTGATAATGAGCGTGTTATGTGCTTCATACGCTGAAGGATACATGCGAGTCCAGTCCTGAGCAGAATGAAGAGCGTTCCCCGACAGAGCCGGCAGTCGGCGCAGGCGTCCTCCGTCTGGAGAGGTGAAGCGAGCCGAACGCAGGACAGTGTCTCCAGCTGCGCCGTCTCGTCCGTCCAGCGGAGCTGCAGCAGCAGACATGTGTTCAGCAGCAGCACACAGCAGCCGTCAGCGAACCACAGCGGCCTCAGCGACAGCAGCTCCGGCACGTCTGCACACAAACACAGCGCTTCAGGATCAACAGATCAGGGCTTGATGAGAGCGGGAGGCTAGGGACCCTGGAGCACTAAACCAGTCAGAAGTAGCACAGGTATATTTGTAGCAATAGCCAACAATACACTGCATGGGACAAAATTAAAAAATTTTCTTTTATGCCAAAAATCATTAGGATATTAAGTAAAGATCATGTTCCATGAAGATATTTTGTAAGTTTCCTACCGTAAATATATCAAAAGTTAATTTTTGATTAGTAATATGCATTGCTAAGAACTTCATTCGGACAACTTTAAAGATGATTTTCTCAATATTTCGATTTTTTTGCACCCTCAGAGTCCAGATTTTCAAATAGTTGCATCTCAGCCTAATATTGTCCTATCCTAACAAACCATACATCAATGGAAAGCTTATTTATTCAGCTTTCAGATGATGCATAATTCTCAATTTCGAGAAATTGACCCTTATTTCTGGTTTTGTGGTCCAGGGTCACATATGGCAAAAAAAATTAAATCTCAATTTTTACAGAACACTTGGCCGATAATCGATTTTTTACGATTTTTAACTAGTCAACTTGAAAATGTAATTACAACATGATTCGAGTAGCTTTTTCTTTATGAACCCTCTAGTTAAAGAAAATTCTGTTCCGAGTGCAGCACACATGAAGTTGTCAACATGATGTAGATGTTAAACAAATCACTTGTTAAATATCTTTGCAGAAATGATGCATGAACTACAACTATATATTGTACAAACTTGTCTTTTACATCTTATATGTTCAGAAATAATGCAAGGAAAATGTTTTAAAATATTCTCAAAAGTCAAGGTATTTCAAATTCAAACTGACTGAAGGTATAACACCAGTAGACTATTATTATCTATAAATGTTCTGTAAAAACAACAGCAGCCTGTCACCATGATGCAAACATGAAAAAACATGAGTTTTTTTTTATTCACATTGTTTTTTTCTGTGTAAACATGGATGTGTTTGACTGTTGCGCTCGCGTCTCTTGCAGCGTCTCATGCATGAAACGACACGCCGCTCAAGTTAAAGAAGTTCACTCCCATCTTCTTGCATGTTTTTCCTGTTCCTCTGCACGTGTCGCATCTTTCTCAACACAAAAGCGCATTCTGTGTGATAGGAGCGCGTCACACGCGGTTGGATCGTTCTTTTCTCTTTATGTTATCATTGCCATATTAATGTCAAAGTGTCTAATTCTAACGTTTGGTAATATTTCTATTCAAAATCGTGATTCCTCGATTCCTAAAAAGTAAAATCGTGGCAAAACATTTAATTTCGAATGAATGGAGAAACTGGGAAGAATCGCCCAGCCCTAGCTTCAGGATGAACCGATCAGAGTTTGATGTGAACGGGAGGCAGTTTTCTCACCGGGGTGCTTGTGTTGAACGCACTGCAGCAGTGATTCAGACGATCTCTCACACAGAAGAAGCGGCTGACCCTGAGGATCCAGCTCATACAGCCTCAGCGCACACTGAGAGTCCAGCAGCAGCAGCTTCAGCTTCAGCTTCACATCCCGACCGCTGCGCTCCCACTGATCCTCCCACAGAACACTCCAGAGCAGAGGCAAAAACAGAGAGAGAGAGAGAGAATATTTACTATATATATATTGTGTGTGTTTTTGTTTTCAAAAAGAATATAAAAAGAAAAAAAAATAAATAAATTAAATTACAAATAATAATTATAATGCACATGTACATAATATGAAATTGATTGCACTTTACTTTGTGATCTTTATTAACAGTAGTAATAATAATAAAAATGGCACAAACAGAATGCAAACATCACATATTAATGAACTATTATTACATTTTTATTATTAATAATAATTATCATTTTAAATATATACTCAATATATAATTATTCATAATATATTTAATATATTTATTTTTAATAAATAAATGTAGTATATGGTTATTATTACTATACTATAAATAATGATAATTATGATGCAAAATTTGCAGTTTACTTAATATAATAATAAAATTTGCAAACATAGAACATTAAACATTAAATATTAAATAACTATTACTATTAATGTTATACGGTACTGTATCTTACACACACACACACACACACATTTTTCTATTATTATTAACATTCACATTTTAAATAAATATTTAATATATAATTATTCATAATACATTTAATATAATATTATTTCATATATTTATTTTAATAAATTAATATTATTATACTATAAATATTCAATAATGATAGTTATGATTTAAAATGATTGCAGTTTACTTTTTGATACGTAATATAATAATAATAATAATTATAATAATGTAAAAGTATACAGCAGTATTTTTATATATAATAAATACAAACATTACATATCAAATAACTAGCACTAATAATATTATACAGCACTAAAATATTTAATTTTTATTCAAATAAATTACAAAAATATTAAATATTAACATAGCACTAAAACATTTAATGATTGTAACAATATTAATTATTTTTTATAATTTTATTGATGTAATAATTTATTATTTTAAATAATTTATTGTTTTTAATAATTTAATAATTTATTGTTTTTAATAATTTATATATTACATTTACTGGCTATACACACACACAACCACTCAAAAGTTTGGGATCACTTGCAAATTTCTTTGTTTTCCAAAGAAAAACACATTTTCATGCAATTCACAAGCAATTTTATCCATTTCACAAACAATTAAAATGAATCAGATGATTTTTAAAGAATGATCTACATTTTTGCATAGAGGCCTATTATTAGCAATTGTCAGTCCTCTGCATCAATCTCCTGGTAGGGCTGCTAATTCAAGTTAATCATTTTATAAGGCTAATTGATTATAAGAAAACCCTTTTTGCAATTGTGTTGCACAGCTGAGAACCGTTGTACTAATGCAGCAAACACTTAACAACTGATTTCTAGTCGTGTTCATTTTTGGAAGACCAAACAAAGTAGTTTCGCTTTCACAACGAAGCACACAGCGCCTTCACGACATGGTGGCGGCAACAATACTACAGCGAGAATAAAAGTTACGCCAACAATTTAAATCGCATCATATGACCCCTTTAAAATAGAAAATCATTATTTTACACCATAATAATATTTCACAATCTTAAATTTGTTCCTGTATTAAATAAATGCAGCCTTGATGAGCATAAGAAACTCCTGTAAAAAAACATTAAAACTAGTTCTGATCCCAAACTTTTGACCGGTAGTGTGTATATATATATATATATATATAATTAAACTATCGCTTAATATCCAGCGATATCGTCGACTTGTTTGCACAGATGAGCTGGATGATGATGATATCCCTGAATTCAATGATGAACTGCCTTTAACTGCAAATTGAGTGTTTACTATTGTCCTTTTGCACTGACACACTATTCTCCTATTTTGATACTGTAAAGCTGCTTTGACACAATCTGTATTGTTAAAAGCGCTATGCAAATAAAGGTGACCTGACATGCAGATTACTTACACAATGGAAATATAACAATAAAATAAAAAATAGCTGCAATATTACATGTAATAAATGCATAAATATGACATATAGAATATTACATGTACAGAACCGAATCTTAAGGATAAGCAGCCATAACAGCAACGGCGAGTGAGAGGAGTGTGTGAGGGCTCAGACTCACTCAATGCAGGTGTGCTGGAGTGTGTGGAGTGCTGCTCTGCTCTCAGAGATGCTCCTCACTCTCACTTCACCTGCTGCATTCACACAGCAGCACAGCACTGACGGGCCTCTGCTGAGCTCCAGCGCCGCGGCGTCCTCCACCGCCCCGCACGCATCGCGCTCCGCCAGCAGACGCACCTCCAGCGCGCCGGACTCACCGCTGCCGCACGCGCTAAGCATCGCCAGCCGCAGCACTCAGCTCGCGCACACCGACGCTTCCGCTGTCCTAAAGAACAAGCGTCGGTCGAGATCAAAGAGCAAGCGTGTGTTCGGATGTAAAAACAGCTGATTATCACATGATCGTCAGTCACATGATCAAAGCGACGGCAGAAAAACCAGTCAAACACGGCGCTAATCCAACCAAAGACATGATGTGTGAAATAAAGTAAGAAAATAGATGTAGTAATAATTATAGCAATCATTATTATTGTAGCCATTTAAAATACATCCAGAATAAATAAAAATAAAATACATTAGTTGCATTTAAAAGGTTAGTTCACCCAAAAATGAAAATTAGTCCATGTTTTACTCACCCTCGAGGCATCCTATGTGTATAAGTCTTTCTTCTTTCAGACGAATCCAGTCGGAGTTATATTAAAAACTGTCCTGGCTCTCGCAAGCGTTAGAATGGGAGAAGGTGTGTGTTTCTGTTCAACAGTCCACAAGAAGTCACATAAAGAGCGTGCATCCGTAATAAAACCTGCCTCCTGTAGGTTTTTGTAAGAAAAGTATCCATATTTTAAACGTAATAAACACTTTTCTCTTGCTTCCGGTATCTGTTGTATGCGAAAGCCGTTCCGGTGAGTAAAAGTAATAAGTAATATTAAATTAAATAAGTATGTCGGCAAAAAAAAAAAAAGAACATGGAATATTTAAATCGATCTTGAATTTGTTTGTTTACAAAAAACATTTTTAGGTTTTAGTGAATAGAAAACTTTGGGCTTGCAGTATTGATTTGGGGGTCTTGGAGTAAGAAAGGTTGAGAACCACTGCTTTAGGTAAATGCAGGCTCAGTTCTACTAAGAATTGAACATTATTTTATTTTTTAATTAAAAATTAAATGAATGCAATATAAAGATACATCCCAACAAGCTTTTTAATTTATTTATATTTTATTATTTATTTATTTTTCACTTGGTAGATCTCAGTGAGTGAAAAGTAGATCCCCACACAAAAAAACTGGGTTAGTGGAACGTTCCGGTAACCTAAAGGGAACGTTCCATTTACGTTAAGAAAACTTTCCTTGCTAACCAAAAGGGAACATTCTGGCAACCAAAAATTGTTAGCTGGGAACTTCTAAATAATGCTAATATATGTTTAACATTTTCACATGATATAAAAAAAACAACAATAATAATAATAAATAATGGTGCTGACCTGCAAAGTATATTTTCTGTATTAAAATGTGCATTGTAATATCCTATGGAAATGTAAATATATGTATTTGTCTGTAAACTGATGCTTATGTACCCTCTTTTTTTCCTTTCCTTTTCTTTTTCCTTGTTCCTTCTTGTTGAGGCATGTGAAATGTTTTTGTTATATAGTGAGATATGGCACTGTACATGCTACTTGTTGACAATAACGCATTATAAAAAAAATAAAAAATAAAAAAAACTTCTAAATAATGCGGCCGGTGTGATTCATCGATGGGTCTGCGCTCGGCGGTTCTTCTTCTTCTCTTGGTTAATGGCGGATTGCAAACCACTTTTAGGTGCATACCGCCTCCTACTGTACAGGAGTGTGTGCAACATTATGTCATTTAGAGTGTTTTCATATTCTGTTCGTCAACCCTGCGTCTTTAAGACATTTAAATAATGCCTCCCGGGTAACTCTTATCCCCTCTCCCTCTCCTTCTGTTCCCAGCATCCCCATCAAACTCCACTCTTGATCGCTCTGGTCTGTGTGAAGGCGGAAGTGCTGAATGCGGAAGTGCGGAAGGCGGAAGTAGCGATGGCGATGGAGCGGAGCGGATCATGGAGCTGGTGTCCGGTCTGCTGAGTGGAGTCTGGCTTTTGGCGGGACTCTCTGACGCGACGGAGGACAAGAGAAGCAAGAAGATGGAGGAAAAAGCGCTGGAGGTGTACGGTGAGTCACGATGACCTTAACACAGTCGCCCTGTGGTGTGTACCATCGTACAGGGAGAGGTCAGATAGAAATACCATGGTACTCAATCATTACCATGATATTAGCACGGTACATGTCCACAATAAATAACACGGTGTTACCATGGTACAGTGACGGTGTCAGGTGGCAATACTATGGTACACTAATGTATACCACAGCATTGAATCATTACCATAATCATATACCGCGATACTTAGTACTTTTAATAATACAATTATATTACCACGGTACATATCCACTGTAAAAAAACAAAACAAAACAAGGTTTTAGCATGGTACATTGATAATGTCAGGTAATACAATAGTATTTTACGTACACTATGGTACTGAATCATTACCGTAATAACACAACTATATTTATGTGGTTATATGGTATATATTGTAGTCTTGGATCATTACCATACTCGTATAACATATTTACTTCATAAAGAATACCATGATGTTACTATGGTACATGTCCAAAATAAACAAATGAGGTATTACCACGGTACAGTGATGGTGTCAGATGGAAATAGCGTGGTACTTTAATATATACTATAGTACTGACTCATTACCATAATCATATACCATAATATTTTCCTCGTACTTCAAAGGATAACATAATATTACCATGGTACATGTCCACAATAAAATTTTTTTTTAAAAAGGTATTACCATGGTAAATCGATTATTTATATATGTATATATATATATACACACACACACACACACATATATACATACACATATACATACACAAATACACAAACATACACATACACATATATATATATACACACACATGGTACAGAATCATTACCATAATATTTAGCTATACAGTACTTCATACATCAGTTACAAACAGTGTATTGCTATATGGAATATGATATGTATTGATGGAAAGCATGGTAAATTCTTGGCATGTATTCACAGATGTTTGTGTTGATAATGTTTTGGCAGACGTGATTCGGACGATCCGTGACCCGGAGAAGCCCAACACTCTGGAGGAGCTGGATGTGGTGACGGAGAAGTGCGTGGAGGTCCAGGAGCTCGGAGACGACGAGTACCTGATCATCATCAAGTTCTCTCCAACCGTCCCGCACTGCTCTTTGGCCACTCTGATAGGTGTGTGTGTGTGTGTGAGAGAGTGTGTGTGAGAGAGTGTGTGTG